AGCTGGTAAAAACAGACTTAATTTTGAGACTTCTTCAACATGATTTTATTGATCAGCAAAGCACTTATTTATACAACTTATCAAAAAGACATAAAGAATGCAACTAAATCTGCTTCACGTTACATAACAAAAACTTCCAACAAAATAGCAGAAGAATAGGTCAAACCTAATAGACTTTGACAACTTCAATTCAACATGTATTTTATTAAACCTCAACAACTCGAACATCAACATCACACTCAGCTCTACGTCAACAGCTCCTAGCGCATCATTCAACACCATTTGACTCCAATTTCTTCTATCCTTTGGGAAGAGCAACAAGTTCCCAAGCATCATTTTTGTTAATAGCATGAACTTCCTCGTCTATAGCTTTCACCATCTCTCATCTTGAGTTGCTTCTGCAAAGTGAATTTGTTCACTATCTGCATAGAGGTAAAATAAAGTGTGATTATCCACTTCTTCTGTGACATCATATAGTTCCCTCAAACTTCTCCATTTGCATGGTATAGGACTATTTTCAGAAGATGGTGAATTTCCTTCATAATTAATTAAGAGATGGTGGAGTTTATTGCTCTTGAAATTCTTCATTTTGTACATTGTTGCTTTCATCAAATAAAGCCAAGAAGTCGTAATCTTCTTCTTCATCACTCCAATCCCATGTAGCATTTTCATCAAAGACAACATCTCTACTTACCACAAGCTTCTTAATTGAATTGTAAAGCTTGTTGTCTTTGGAATTTGGATCATAGCCAATGAAAATAAGCTCCCGACTCTTGTCATCAAGCTCCATTCGTTTTTGATCTGGCACGTGAGCATATGCAATGTTTCCAAAAACTTTCAAATGAGCAACGTTAGGCCATGCTTGTTGAGGAGTTACATTCCACAAACTTCTAGTAGGGCTTCAATTAGACAAGTAGATGGCACATTCAACTGCTTAGGCCCAAAATTCTTTTGGCATTTTCTTACTCTTCAACATTCCTAGAGTCATATTTAGAATAGATCTCTTTTTTCCTTTCGAAGACTCCATTCTATTAGGGTGTCCATGAAATGGTCAAAGGACGACGAATTCCATTTTCATCACAAAAGTCTCTAAATGCTTTTGAAGTGAATTTGCATCTTCTGTCACTCAAGCTTTGATGAAGTATCCACTTTCTATTTCAACAAATGCTTTATATTTTTTTTATACTCCAAACACCTCTGATTTTTCTATAACAAAAGAAACCCAAGTTTTTCGACTAAATCATCAGAAAATGGTTATTCTTACCGAATGAACTTGGTTTGATCGGCCCACATAAATCGGTATGAATAAGCTCCAATGGTTTCTTTGCTCTTGAAGAAGATAATTTTGGAAAGTGTCTCTTGAAATTTTACCGAAAAGATAACCTTCATAGAATTGATTCGGGTACTCAATATATGGCAATCCACTCACCATGTGCTTCTTTACCAATAATCTCAAGCCACCAAAATTTAATGTCCAGGTCTTAAATGCCACGTCCAAGATGAATCTTCCAAGCAAAACTTTAAATATTTAGCAACATCAGTTTGAAGGTTTAACATAAACATGCGATTTTTTGTCATGGGTACTTTAGCATCAAATTTCCACGTTGATCTCCAATTGAAAGACTATAAACACGCGTGGAAATAATATAGCCCTTCTCCAAAAGCTATCCCAAACTTAAATGTTACTTTTCATATCCGGCACATAATAAACATTGGATATAAATTCATGCTTTCCATTTTTTAAGCGAATCAGAATGTTACATTTCCGTGTACCGGAATTTTTGTAGCATCATCAAGGGTAATATTTCCACTTATAGATTCAAGCGCCACAATCATTGATTTGCTACCACACATATGATTGCTTGCACCACTATCAAGATACCAAATATTTCTATCACGTTCTTCTTCAGCTTTGCATGCTAGAAGTAGGGTAGGCTCACTACTTCTGCTTTCTTCTTCAGTATAGATGACATTTTCTTCAACTTTATTTCTTCATTTTCAAGCGAAATGGCCAAACATATGACAATTATAGCATTTCAATTTGGGCTTTATCATACCTTCTATCATCACTTTTCCTCCCATAAGACCTTGAATAGCCTCTTCTTCCATGGTCCCCTAATGAATTTCACTATTAGCTGTCGTTGTCATCTTCATTTTTCTTCTATCCATAATTTCCTCCTCTTGCTCGACCTTATGAATTGCCATGTACACTGACTCGACCTCGACCTCTTTGGCTTTCCTCTTGACTCTCTTCCTTTCCCTTCAATTGTAGCTTTGTTTGTAGAAATCTTTCTTTTTCTTCAAAAGTTTCTCTTCATGGACTTGTAAGGAACCCACAAGTTGTATACTCAAATCTTTTGATTCTTCAATTGCTACAACAATGAAATTAATTTTTTTGTCCAACAAACGAAGGATTTTTTCGACCACAATAGTATCACTCATTATTTCACCATCTCTCTTCATTTCATTAAAGACTTTTAAAATTCTTGCAACATAATCTGAAACTAACTCGGATTCTTTCATATGCAAAGCTTCATACTCTCCTCTCAATGTCTGAAGCCGAACTTTTTTGACTTGATCAGCACCTTTAAAAGTATTGTCTAAAATCTTACATGCCTGTTTAGCAGTAGTAGCATCAGAAATCTTCTCAAATGTACTATCATCTAGGGATGGCAATTCGAACTGTTAAAACCGAAAACCGCGGTTAACTGAATCGAATGGGGCGAAAAAACCGAACTATGGTGCAATTGGTTATGGTTTTGATTTTAATGACCCGGTTCGGGGTGGGGCGGGTATGATATTTAGCGACAGTGCCCCGCCTCGAACCGATTACCCGTTAAAAAAATTAATTGGGCAATTGGACTTTTCATTATTCTTTCCCAAAATTAATTGGGCAATTTTGACAATCGAGCTTCCCTAAAGTTTTGGCCCAATTAACATTACTGGTAAACCCTTAACGCAATAACCTAACTCTAACCTTACACGTTAAAATTGAAAATTGAAAACCAAACTTATAAAATACTCGTCTACTCAACCAATGAACCCAAATCAGATCCGTCGATGCTCTGCTGCCGTACCTTATCTTCAAATTGTAGTAATCAGCAACGAAGTATACCATCTTGTGAGCACACTCCGGAGTTGTTCTGTGTCCATTGGTTTGAAACCATCTTCCATGTACAATTCAACAAAATCCAGATACATTACACTTGATTTCATTTTCTTTATAATATTATTTAAATATATGATGCGTGGCCTGAAAAATGTGATTTTTAGTCTGTTTTGCTTGCTAGTTTATGCGTTCTTCAATTTCTCTACGTTCATAAGAAATAGGTGTCGAATTATTAATTTTGTTACAGAATTAATGTGGTTTTTTTGTTGATGTTATTAATGAAATTCCAGAATTCAACATATATTTTGGGTTATATTATTTGCGAGAGTTTGGTAATTTACCAATCTAGCAGGGAATAATTATTTTTTTATTTCTGCTTTCATTTTCATATATCTGTCAAGCAATTTTTATTTTTATAGTGATTGTCATTTGCATTTCTCTATTTGGTAGGTACAAGGGATGTTTTCTTTATCCCTTTTTAGTGGGTCAGAATAAAGAATTTTGATTTTTTACAAATGCAGAATATAAATTTATTTTCTGTAATAGTGTCTAATAAACTCTTGTTTTACTGCTTTAAGCAGATATTTTCAATTTGTGCAGTTAATATTTCTTTTAGAAAAGTGA